GATGTCCTAAAACCTCCCTGAAAAGCCTTCAGCTAATCCAAAATGCTCCAGCAAGAGTACTGACAGGGACTAGAAAGAAATGTATAGGTTCTATTTAAGTTCAGCTCAGTTGGATAAGCGGGGGCCAGTATGCCGCATGGCTGAGTGGTCAGCCCAGGTTCGAGTCTGACCTGTGACCCTTTGCCCTCTCACTTTGCTGTCAGTCTTCACTTTATCTTTATAAGGTCAAAAAAGGGATTCCTACATACTATAAAATTCAGCATATAAAAACTACATTCAAAACAGATTGTCTGAAAACTGCTTTTATTGCCATACGATACATAGAATAAAGAAAGCAAAATTCACACAAAATATATAAATAAAAGTAAAATGCAAGCAAAAGAAAAGGTATAAAATTCATTGTATTATATCCATTACTTCAAATCAGCCTTTGGTTACAGCACATGTACATGTTAATAAAAATGAAAACACGTTATGTAAAGCCGGCTCTGTTTTAGAAGAAATTACATGTAAAAACTCTTAACATAAAAAAATATATATATATTCAACACACATCAAAACTTTGGAAAAGTGTCAAGAGGGAATCTCCCTCTCAGACCAATTCATGCACCTTTATGAGCAACATGTTACCCTTCCATCATAGCTAAATGAGCCCTTGTTAATTTGATCATCAAGCCTTTTCCTGACATTGCATAGACACTCCTTCAGAAATCCAGCTGCTGACCTATGTGTTCTACCAGGGCTGAAACATCTTGAAATTTTTAAACAAAAGAAAAGAAAAGGGTCAGTAAAGTAAAATTTCACAAATGTGTTGCAGTTGTTTGAATAATGTCAAGTTGTCTGTAATCCTGGAGCGGTGAGCTTGAACACTGTGCTTGACATTTGTTCAGAGAGGACAAAACAACAATGAAGCAGACCAGTGGTTGTGAATGTTTACAATTAATTGTTACGAGATGGACTATGTCAAGATCAAGTATCATGTTTCACACACTTTATACTGTCACAAGGTTGTACAAACCTTTTTGCCAACTTCTCCATAGATTTA